TGCCAGTAACTCATCGATACGACCGCGTGTGCCGTTGAACAATTGAGAACGGTATCCCTGTTCTCAATACCCGTCACCAAGGTCCGTGGATTGATCTTCGAGAGCAGTAACAAATTCGTATTCGTCTTCATCGACATAATCCATTTCATCGCTGTAGGACAGGGTTTTGATACGTCGTGGTTTGAGGTTCGCGCGGATGGGCAGTACCACGGATCTGGTCCCTTCGAAGCTTTCGGCCTTGAGCTTTGAAAGCGTGTATCCGGCCATTCTAAAGACAAAGCTCAATTTCTCAGGCCAGTGGTATTTGCTATACAGTGCCGATGCTTTGACTGTGTCCCAGTGGCATGATCCATACCGACGATAAGGTGCCATCCAGGGCCGGATATTAGGATCGTCTATATTATCAGGCTGTATAGCAAGGTACTTTTGGTAGCATTCTTCGACCAATGCATTCCGACTCTCTCCCGTAAGTTTTGTGTTCTTCCATATTTCATTCCATGCACCATACACGCGTTCAAGTTTCGCGTTCAAAGAACTGAGCTCTTTCCTGACTACGGATGTTCCTTCGTCATTAAGGTATTGGCATGGATATAGTAAGACTTCGTCCCGTTCAGCAACGTTCCCAAGTATCTCCTTGACTTTTCTCATCGTCTCAACGTTATGTGCCCTCACGACATCGAAGTAGAGATAGTCCAGTACGTTGTCTGGTTTGTAGCCGTATTTACTCTCACGACGTTTCGGAATATCTGTCGAGATCCTCGCATTATTGCAGTCTTTAGCTGCCCTTTTGTAGGCCGGATCTTTTGGATTCTCACATAGTGTCTTTACAGAGCTGTTGTACTTGTTCTGAGTGAGGATGTATCCTTGCTTACTTGCATCGACGAGGAGATCGTGTACGTCGTAGAGCTTCTCAAGGGTTCTAGAATGAACGCAGTTTTCGTTGTAGGCCTGTTTATCTGCCAAAACTGTTGCTTGGCCTAGTAGCGAAGGGTGATCACGGAACTTGAAAGCTTCTCCTAAGAATGCATCTACTTCTTTGGGGTTGTCGGGGTCCATGATATCCTCGAGCTTCTCAGTTCTTGTTTCGATGCCATAATCGGAAGGTTTTGGAGACTGAACTGGCGCAGGAGCATTGGAGAACGGTTGTACAAGTGTATCCTCCCAGCAAATCCAGAATATGTCGCCGTCATAATCGCCTCCCTGTAATTTTCCAGCCAAGGGAAAAGGGCCTTTGGAGGGAAAGACAGCTACATCTACCAAATGAGACAGCTTGGGATGTATGACTGTCTTCACCTTCTGGATATCAGAGCGGCGACAAGCAGGCTGACGGGCGACCAAGACTTCCGTATCCCTGAGGTCCAAGTATCTCTCATTGGTGATCTCTTCGACGAATGGCCAAGAGAACAATATCTGAATCTCTCCAGGTTTCAATACTCCCAATGGATCTGCCACTCCGTACAAGAATGTTGATTTCGGAAGCACTACACGTAGTTTAGCTTCTTGAAGTATTTGTCTACTCAGGATGAAGGACTCGAGATTCTGAGCAAGATACGGAAACTTCAGAGGATCAAAGCCGGATTCCAGTAGGTTCAGAACCTTTTCCTCAAGAGATGCTGGTTGACCAGCTCGTCTAGGGTCTTCTTCGCGAAGTCTTGTGTTTGCTCCGTTTCGGTATACCCACTCATGTACCTTTGTGGTGTCTTGAAGAACATCCAGTAGATTTATGCGCTCTTTTTCAAGAGAGTCAAACATGAGATTAGATATCGCCTCCTTTGGTACACCCCTATCAGCCAAGATCGGAATGAACGATGAATGCAGCTCAGATGGAGATGGGGTTGAGCTGTAGTTTGACACCTCGAAAGTACGATGATAAGGAGACTGATCGTTTGGGGGCTGGAATTTCCATTGACTCTCGTTGATCTTGATCCAGGGTTCCAATTCCTTCGCTTCCTTGGTGAATTTCTCTGCGCTAATCACCCAGACTCCCTTCGCACCCCCTATGCGCCCCTGAAAGGCACTAGGTAGTGGATCGGTGACGCCTGTAGCCTTGGTGTACAGATCCCATATCTTTTTGGCCGCACCCACTGACATGACGCAACAACCATCATTCATCACAGTTTTCTTTAGGAAAGGCGGCCAGTCTAGTGTTGTGTCATTGAATTGTGTGTCTTCTCGGTCATTTGTACTCCATTTGTCCCTCACACGCTTGATTTGCTTTGCGTCGAAGCACAAAGTAGGTATAGTCCGGGAAAGACCAAGATCAATGCGAGCAAAGGCCTTACAGAAGCTTTTATCTTTGTTGAGATCAATAGGTAAGAACTTGTTCAACATTTCCCCTATTGTGTATGGTTGCTTAATGCCGGCGCCTTCTGTAGCAAACAGAATGATCCTTTTGTCGTGAAGCATATCCTCGCGGTGAGACTTGCGCTTCCTTTTTATGGTGTCAACATGGAACACTCTCCATTTGCGTCCCAAAAAAGAGTGCTTTGTCAGCAGCCACTCTTGCCACTTCTTTCTGATCTTCACCATATCATCATAAGTGAAGTCATCTATCTTGGAAGAATTAAACTCGGGTAAATCCAGATAGAGGAACCGATCTGAACCAAACATTCGCTGCAACCGACACGACTTTTCTTCTTGTATCGGTAGTAGCCTGAGACGCATGATTGGGTCTGCTCGTCTGGAACTGAAAGTGAGTTTTCCCTTGAAGGTAAAACCATCCATTTCCCGGTTTACTACTTGCCAGAGGCGATTGGATTCGCGTGACTTGACTGTAGGTCTTCCCAGGCTCTTAAAGTGGCAATCAATGGAGTGCCAGAAGGTTTGTGGGTCAGTGAAGATATTTGAGTCGTCAACAACATCCGCAATCGATCGTAGTGGAATAGAGTATTCTAGTGCAATGCGCTGGCAGATGAACAATACATAGTAGGGAATATATTCCAATTCCTCTGGAAGCATTTCCACGAATAGACTTTGCTTGGGTATGTCGCGTATGTGGTATGACATCTTATTTGTTGACAGATCGTTTTGCTTTTGGTTGCTGGCGACCCCAGAGGGCCCCAGGCAGGCAACCGAATCTGACCGATCTTGCTTATTTTCAACTTTGGCTGCCACCTTGACAAATTCCTCGTCATCTACAGAGCCAAAGGTAGGTCTACTTTGTCCGTTGCTGTCTTGAGAAAAGCTTATATTAAGGTCGGTCTGGATGTCTTGCTCACATACCCTGTCACTTTGGGTCGACATGGCAAATTGCATTTCCGCTTGGATCAAAGCATCATCATCGAAGGAGCCTATTGTAGTAGAGCTCCTTCTATTTGTCGTCTTTAATCTTGGGCTGTATTGTCCATAGGCATCGGTGTCGCCGTTAGACGATGCGAAAGAAGTCGCCGCGGTATTGACAGTCTCCTGTGATGAGAAAATGCTATTGTTGAAGGACACGTTTGCGGATGCTGGATCAGCATTAGGCTGACGCGAGGGGGCCATGTCGACGGTCGGTGTTTTGAACAAATTCTCTGTATTGCGCGATGTGCTGACTGCCTGCTTTCCTCTCGAGGTTTTTGTCAATTTTGACGAGGTTCCATAATAATTGGAGTTCTCCAAGGACCGTTTCCTTGCCGAATGCAATGAGACAGGTTTACTTGCCTGGGATGGGTATGCCGGCCTAGGTAATGGAGAGGGCGATGGAAATCGTACCTTAAGCCTTGGGTTCATTTCATCGTCGGTGTCTTCATCTGTAGGAGAGCCTGGATCTGGAGCGGTCTTATACGATTTACATGACTCAAGTGACTCTCGCTCATCTTGCCGGTCAAAAAGTAGCGGACTGGGTGGCTGTTGTGTCTTGATCGCTTCTGTCTGCAAATTAGTATTTATACGTATAGGGTTCCTATCCCATGGGGCGGAGCCCACGAAACACGGAGGCCTAAACCCCAAGCTTTTATAGAAAGTGCCAATCCAGTCGGCGTGACTGAGGCGTGCAAACACCAGAAACTGGAGAGCTTGTCAAGGAAAAGGAGTACTGACTGCGAGAAGAAGGAACAGGACTTCCGGGCTCGCTAATGTTCTGCGTGGGGGTCTTTGGGAGCGGTCTGCATGTCTTTGCTACATCTGACAGCAACTTGTGAAAAAGAGTCAGGCGCTCTTTGGGTTGTTCTTGCTGAGCGCTAGACTTGAACTCTTGAATTGCCTGCTTAAGGGCTTTCCGGTTTTGGAAAAACAGGAACTTGATGTACTCGTAGACTTTATTACGTGGGTCCTTTTGGTTTAATTTCAACGGAGAATAGTGGCCACGAATCTGGATGCCAAGGTCGAAGTCTCTGTTGATGGATTCTACGATATCGTTGAGACGTTCTCCTGTTTGGTTGCGGGGCGGCGTGCCTGGAAGCGAGGGAGGTGCGGGAGGACCCTTCGCCCTAGCATGATCCGTCATGCGGGGCAACAGCTGTCCTGCTTGCCTGATACTTAATTCAAGGAACAACCAAAACACATACAAACACAGAAAATTTAAGAAAAAGGAGCCTCGGGTGCGCCGGATAGTAAGGTTGGTCGAGGCAGCACTCCAAGGCTGAGAATACCTTGCCTTGGCGACTATCGTTTCGGTGATGAGAGTGCTGGTCTGTGCACGGCGCGTTCTCGCGGTGTCACGGGAGTCTCATTCACGCAAACAGAAAACCGGGTTTTCGCACCGCAACAAACAGAGGCCATCTCGCTTATGCAAACAAGAAGCAAGGATCTGGAATTGACTAGATAAGTGGGGTTAGTATTTGATGTGCATAAAAGCCCACCCAATGCTGCATTGACAGGGTACAGTAGCGGCACAAGGCAAGAAGGTGGGGTGAATCGGGAAGAAAGAATAACATGTGTCACATATGACTCGATAACGGTTGTCTAGATTCGTGCCGTGTCGTTTTTTCGCCTTGTGGCGGATATCCCAACCATGCAATAGGTATTCGTGAAATTCAAAATGAACCGTGAACCGACCCCGCGCCTTGAGCCGTCCAAGCTTAAACCTTCATCTCCTTGAGACCGTGCTTCCAGACAGTAACGTAGGGGGTGACACCATCCTCGCGGTAGTTGAGGAGGATGATCATGCCGTCGGGGTTCATGGACTCGCCGGTGTAGAACTCGTAGTCCTTGAAGTTGGCAATGATCTTCTTGGCAAAAGACTGGGCTCTAGTCTCGAACTCCTTGATGGCGGCATCGTCAGCGCCATCGGCCTTGAGAGCCTCCTTGACTGCTTTCATGTAGCCTAATCATAGTTAGTATTGGTATGCTGATGGACTGTGGTCATGTGGCGCACCCTTGAGGTATGTGAGGTAGCCCTTCTTGTCGAAGCCCGTCTCGTTGAGACGGAAAGAGTAGACGACATCGATCTTGGTCTCGGCCGTGTCATCGGCACCCTCCTCCTGCTCCTCGGCGGAGGCATTGGCACCAGTGTCTGCGGGACTGTTAGGCCAGGTAAGTGTATCGTTGTGTCACTAGCACGCACCGAAAGTCTCGCCTCCGACAGTGATCTTGGAGCAGTCGGCCTCGTAGGCGACGCCGTCAATCTCCTTGAGGTTGTACGAGTCGGAGATGATCTCGTCACCGGTGATGATGTCCTAGAAGCGTGTCAATACTACATGTCTGGATCAGGGGCCAGGTGCTGTTCCGCCGGCGCAGGCTGTAGTGAAGCGCAACAGGGAAGGCGGGGTAGTTGCGCGGGCAGGGTCAACTGCGCGCGGGCAGGAGGGGCAACGGACCTTGTAAATGATCATATTGGCAGTGTTGTGTATGTGAAGATTTGGTTGTGGGTGGGAGAAAGAGTGTCGGCTGGTCGGGGGGCTGGAGGATTCTTTCTTTCACTCGGGGCGGAAAGGAAGCGCGGGACTATAAGGGCGTGAGAGAGAATTTGGTGGGGTCAAAAATTGGGTTTGAGGGTGGTCTAGCCGGAAGTGGCCTGTGGCTGGTGGGTGGCTAAACCGTGGCTAGTGGGTGGCGGCCCTGAGTATGCGTGCACGGTGCGTCTTGCGGCGGTGGAGGTGACCTGGTTTCTCAGGCACTTTTGGTCCGGCCGGGCAGGCGAAATGTCATGATGCGCCCGTACGTCGCGCCAGTGCTTCTCCCTGTCACAGGCAAGTACCAAGCAGCACCACCCTCACACGACTTTCTCCCTCGCCTCGCTCTGCCCACCTCAGCCTCTCCTTTCCGAGCCCTCCGCCGCCGACCATTTCAACCACGGGCTCATTCTCATCTGCTTCCCACCTGCACCTGCCGTTTATCCGTCTGCTGCATCGCTCCTTCTCCCTAATTTCCTTGCTCCGCCGCTCTCGGGCTCTTGCTGTCGTCCATCATCGCCCAAGCCTGCCCTGCGCCCTTCGACGAGCACTCTGCACTCCCCCAGTCGCCGTTGCATAGCTACACTTGCAATCCATAATTCGCTGCCCTGGAGCACCATTGCTGCACCATGGCGAGCGCAAACTCAACTGCATCCTACGACCTACCGCCGCTGCCTGAATACACCCTTCAGCCTCTACAGCCTCTCACATCATGGACATCCGACGCCTTCATACAAGCCGCCCTCCCCGTTGTCGGCTACTGGTTCGTGTCTCTGATATTCCACGCCATTGACGTATACGACCTGTTTCCCCAATACCGACTGCACACGCCCGCAGAGGTCCTGAAGCGCAATCACGTCTCGCGATACGAAGTCCTGCGCGACGTCATGCTCCAGCAGGTCATTCAGATCATAGCATCCTTCAGCCTCTCCATGTTCGACGATGCCCCGACTACTGGAAAAGCCGATTATGACATCGCTTGGTATGCCCAAAAGATCCGCCTCGCACAGCGCGCAGTTCCATACGTCTTGTCCGCAGTTGGCGTCAATCCAGTCGCCCTGGCCTCAAAGCTTGCTTCTTCTCAGCCGGTTCTCTCTTCGGTCATTACTGGAGGAAGATACCCAGCGCTACTACAGTCAGCAATAGTTGCCGGTGAGCAGACGCTGGTCCCAGCCTTTGCTTCCTGGGAACTGGCTGTCGCTAGCTTCGCCTACTGGTACGCCATCCCTGCGTTCCAGTTTAGCGCTGCCATCGTCATCATGGATGCGTGGGAATACATGCTGCATCGCGCGATGCACCTGAACAAGTGGTTATACGGTACGCTCCGCTCTTGGAACCCTCCCCCCCCCCCCCCAAGTGCTTAGCTAACATACATAGTGACCTTCCACTCACGTCACCATCGACTCTACGTCCCATATGCTTACGGCGCGCTGTACAACCACCCAATTGAAGGTTTCGCGCTAGACACCCTTGGCGCTGGTCTCAGCTACCTTCTCACCGGCCTGACTATGCGGCAATCCATGTGGTTCTTCACCGGCTCAACCATTAAGACTGTCCTCGACCATGGCGGCTATGCATTCCCCTACGACCCTATCCACTGGATCTTTCCCAACAATGCCGCGTACCATGATATCCACCACCAGAGCTGGGGCATCAAAACCAACTTCTCACAGCCATTCTTTGTCTACTTGGACCGCATCGGAGGCACCATGTACAAGGGCGACGTTGCTGCGAAGTACGAGCGCGCTCGTATTACGGCACAGCACAAGCTCGAACAAGAGAAGGAGAATGAGGCGACCGCTGTCCCGGCGACTGCTGCATCGGTCTCCAGCCCATCTCAGGAGGACTCTTCGCTCCCACAAGGTGCTTCAACCCCCCGCATTTCAAGAAAAAAGGCGACTAGCATTTCATCATCGGCGGGAACAAACTTCAAAGATTTGACAAACAAGGTCAATCAAAACCTGCACGGCAGGAGAGCCAATGTTTTAGGGTTGGAGAGCTCGCATTGATTGCACCCACTTGTTTCATTTATGGACAAGAACCATCTGGTTGCTATAGGTAATGTTTAGTCCTAGTACTACAAACTTTCGCTTCTTTTGATTTTTTTTCTTGTACTATCTGGTAGCTGCGGCCTTGCGCTGCTTCGCGTACCGTTTGGGATATGGTTTTATCTTTTTCATCCTTGACTGATGCATTATACGATTCTGGAATGGCGTTCACTGTATGGCTGGATCACTATTGAATTGAAGCCCTATTATTGACTGTATGAAATCTTTCCGCCTGTGTTCTGGTCATTGACTTTTCTTGACCCGTCTTCTTGACAAGTAGGCCCTGCGCGTGACTTTGTGATACTCATGTTTCATTCAGTATTCTTTCCTGATGACCTTACCGGCTTGTCAGCTAATGTCTCTAGAGCTGCTTTCAGTCTCATACTTCTGATCCAATTCTGAGATTCACTACTATATTAGCACATTGTGGATTTTTCCATGTCCCAACATTGTATCACTCTCTCGCTGTTCCAAGAGCCGTGAACACTAAAACCCAACTTGACATTTCCCACAATGCATCTCGCTCTTCACCACGTTGTTCATTTACCATGTCATTTTGAAAGGGTTATATACCCGTTCACTCCTATCCAACCCCTATTGTTTCTCACATCCTACAAAGTAAGATCTCTACAAAGACACTGTGCCAGACAAGATCAAAATGGTTTCCTTTTTGGGTCGAATGGAGACTCGCCGTCTTCACAGCACTGACATGAAACGCTTGGTGTGCATCCTGCGAGATGTCCCGGTACCCGGCGAGGAGCGTTATGGGCGCAAAGTGGCACACTACCGAAAGTTCACCAAGCTGGATATCCAAGATCTCCCTCGTCGCTTACGCTCCTCTCCTCTATTCTTCGGGTCTTCTGGGAACCTCTGCTGCATCCACAAAGGCCTGGATGCTCATCTGATCAACGACATTTGGGCATGGGTGAAGCATGAGTTTGAAGGCGCAATCGGCCAGTTCCTTTACCCCCTGATCATGTGTGATCTTCTGACCCCAGACCAAGAGTGGAGGGCGCGTAAAATGGAACCCGTGCTGCAAATGTGGCGACAGGATTTCGATATTGATGCTTCTGCGCCGCCTGGCCGTGAGCCCATCTACTGTGGAGACAAGTGGCACTATCAGCGCGATCAGTGTCCAGCTTGTATCATGGCGCGTATGGCCTCCGACGAGGACGTCCTCTCCGCTCTCTTTGCGGGCATGACCGGCCGCATGAGCACCAAAAGTCTGACAAATCCCAACGCCGCTCCTGACACCCCTTACTGGGCAGAGATGAGCTCGAAGCGTGTACGGTTCGTAAAATACTGGATCAGGAAGACTCGTGGCGGTGAGAGGACCCTTTACGAAGCCGGTAACCTTGGTATGAGACTAAAGTGTTTAGTGCTCGAGCGAAGGCACCAAAAGGAGACTCTGTATCAGACGCTCTCGGGCACAACAGTCAACTCCTCTTCAGATACATCCTCCAATCACCAAAAAGGTGAGCACTCGGCCCATATGCAGGACGACACAAAACTAGGTCCGAAACCTCGCCCTTTCAGCGTAGATCAGTTCTCCCCAGCAGAAACCCTAGGTTTCGACATGCGCGAGAAGCAGGACTACACCTCTACCAAATCTTACAACCGACAACACACGCACTCAGTATACCACCAAGATACCTACCAGCCCTCACCCAGTAAGTCCTCATTCTACTCATCCTACCACCACCACTCAAGCCACTCACTGAGCCCCAGTGACAGCATCAGCATAAAACCCCTCCAACCCGCGCCCCTCGGCATCCAAAAACAAAACCCAAGCCACCACTGCAACTCCTCCTCAACAAGCACACCCAGCACCATCCTCTCCTACACGGGTGGTCCCTCACAACACCCCCACCACCGCGACCCCTTCAACAACCCCATCTACAACATCGTCGAACCAGCAAAACCGCACCAAGCAGAGTCGCACCAAGAAAAGTACCAAAAGCTCTTAGCCACCGACAACCCTTTTGCATACTCTACTTCAAACTTTACCACCGACGCTGACGAGCAGTCGCGCGACGCAGCGCTCCCGCGCCCCAAGAAAGCATCCATGTATTTTGCATATTGGGACAAGAAGTTCAATGGGGAACGCTTCGATGGCGTTGATGTGGAGCCGAGGCGTGAGGAGCGCGAGATGTGGGAGAGGGAAGGGCGCGAGATGGAGAGGGAAAGGGATTCGGATACGGAGTCTGAGGGGAGTAAGAGGTGTACGCGTTGGGAAGATTTTTATTAGTAACTGCTGCGTGTGTGTGTATGATGGTTATGATATTTATAAAGGTTTTATTTAAATCAATTGATTAATGTTTTATGATTCTAAATTCTTTTTTTTTCACGATGGATTTTGCTTGTGTAAGAAAGTGAAGAGGATGGGTGTGTGTGTGTGTGAATGCGCATATGAAGCCTAGTTCTTGGATTACGGCGAGTGTGCAGAGTGCATGCTGGAAAAGTGGTCCATTGTGATGTGATGTGATGTGATTTACAACTGCCTTGAACGGTCAGGGTTAAGTGATCTGGTTGTAATGAATACGCACCTTACTATGGTGTAATTTGCATGTTGGGGACCCGAGTATGCATAAACCCATGGTACTTGTCTCAAGATAGAAGATTTATGCGGTGGGCTTAATTGCTTTACCCGGAGAGCATCTCCCGAAGTCTGCCTTGCGGTGGGGTGCTTATCGTAAGGCTGACTGGCAGCTAATTAGTTTGACTGTTTTAGGCGTCCAGGCTGGCATCGAAGCGAAGGGACATGAACAAGAGGGGCTGCCATCTAGTAGGGTATACCATTATCATTATGATTTTTTGTTAGCTGTATGTGTGGGTAGAATTCGTAGTTGTGTTCAAGGCAGCAATATAAACACTTGAGTCGATGAATTGACCAAACTACTGATAGAGTAGAGAAACTTTTCCCAACCCGTGAATTCTAAATACTTAATCTAACAATGACAATTGGAAAAAAACAGACCGCCTCCCAAGCTATATCGCTTGCAGTTCCATGCAGCAGAGAAAAAGGGGGGTATCATATGTATGCACTTGAAACCCAAAAAAGAGACACTTACAATCCCATGTATTTCTCCACAAACGCCATATAGACAGTAATGACCCGCCCAATAAGCGCCAGGATTTATATCTGGACAACGTATTTGTCAAGGTATTCTGGTAGTGGTACCCCGCAGTGTTGACTATTGCAAGGCAGACACGACAATCCCCACATATGCTTCTAGCAAAGCCCACACAATCACCTGCAGCACCAGTCATGCAGCTGCTTAGAAGGGAAGTTAGACCAATCCCTACTTCCTGTGCAGATCCTTGGAGTTTCTGTCCAGCCTACGGTGAACTGCACCCATGACCACCTTGAGAATNCCCGCTGCAGTCAGTGACTCGCCTTCTGCGCCACTAAAAGGAACAGTATCCACAATATCTCTGAGATTGTCGTCCTCGGCCAATTCGGCGAGCCCGTCATCAAGCTGCTTGAGATGTTCACGCGCACCGGGCTCCCGNCCCACCTGGAAGAACTGGATACCGACTTGCCACGCAGGCGCNTCGAGCTTATCAAGCTTCTTGGCAGCCTGAATAATGGTAGACTCAACATCGTCAGAGGGCTCGCCATCGGTGATGATAATGATGTTAATGGGCTTAGTTTTGTCGTCCTGTTCATAGCGCTGGAGATAGGGTTTTAGGATCTTGTGAAGGCGCTGGCCAGTTGGTGTGGCGCCGCGAGGTCGAACAGTCTGGAAGATTTCGATAATAGTGCTGGGAGTGGTAACTTTCTTGTAGAGACTCGAATCAGGATGATTCAAGAAGTAAATGTCGATACCGTCTTCGTCGTGTCCTGTACAAATTGGTGTGATGGTCGCAAGGGCTTCCTGCGTCTCTCTCCATGAACGGCCAGCCATGGATCCTGAATCGTCAATCAAGAAAATAGTATCAAAACTCCTGAGGAAAGCGTAAGGGTCAGAGTCTGAAGTTGTTGTTGTAGATGGTGACTGGAATGCGCCTGCATTTTGAGCTGGACCTGGTGTATAGGCCGGCGGGGCTTCGTTGTTAGATCCGAAGGCGTTCATACCTGTGCTACCTAGTGATCTGTCAGTATCTAGAGGGTAAATGGCGGGAACATGTCCAGTTCGGTGTATTTGGCTATCTTACCTGGCCTCCTTGTAGCTGGTGATGGAGAAGTAAATGGGCTAGCAGACGAAGGTGGTGGTGCGAGGCCGCTATTACGGGATCCAGCACTCTTGGGGCTGACCGGCGCAGCTGTAAGTGTGTTGTTCTGTGTCTGACCCGTGACCGCTACCTCCCGCGCTGAGTGGTCATTACTTGAAGTCGACGATTTGCGCGTCGAAAAAGCCCTTTTGACCTTGCCGAGCATACTTCCTCGCTGTAAAAGTGATTGGGGTTGCAAGTGGAGTGAAGGGTGATCCGAAGAGTTGGTAGGAGTTCTGCAGTAGTGGGAAGGTAGTGAAAACGCCATTGCGCTTAGGTAAACAACGTGGCAAGAGCAGCAGTTAGGTAAGACTGTTTGCAGTTGCCGAAACAAGACCCTTGTGCTTGGGTGAACAAAGAGCTTATGTTTGTTCCCATGGTTTGTTGTAAACTCTTTATATTACTTCAATAGAATGCTACTCTGCCTCGGCGGAAGCCTGCATGTCTCTTTGTGTCACGCAATAGCCGGTTTCAACAAATGAAACACACGTTTCCTCAGCAAAGCCTATCATGCGTACTTGGAATTTTCTTCTTACAGAGAGATAGCCCCAGGATTTGCTCAGCCTACTTACTACTCTAGCAGTGGCGCAAACGCGCACAGCCGCACTCTTAGCGCATGACCAATCACATCACCTGTTGCACAGCCGAGAACAATTAACTCGACATTTTTCGATTCCGCATCACACGACGATTAATCATTCAGAGGTACTGTACAGCCTTGCATATTTGCGCACATGCATATTTCGTTCCATGGAAAAGTGATATGGGAAACCCTTTAAACTAGACTAGTAGTACCGAGTAGATAGTCTCCGTCTACGAAATGTTGAGATAACAGCGACCTTCCGTTTCTGGTACCCCAAGGATCGAGGCGTCCCTTAAGGCAGGATACTTCTTCTCAGATTTTAATCCCAAGTCCGCATCCCTCCACAATAAGGGAAAGGGTGGGGTGAGGGCGAGCATAAGGCCGAAGGCACCCTGATGGTGCGGGCGAATTTCGCAACGAATGTACTACAGCTAAGGCTGAATCTCACCAACGGTGAACGAGGGCTACCCAGCTCACGAACGCCATGTGCATGTATATGATTCAGGCCTCAAAATGCATGGGGTTCAACAGGCCCGTAGTCAGGCATCGAATATGCATTAATCCTTTAATGTACGTGCGTCTCTAGGAGTCCAATCTCTCTCGCTAGCCATAAACATATCCCTTACCGCCACGTGCCTGCTAAGGCAGCTACTCGATGCTATTTGGGGTCCTTTTCGTGCGCCTCCGTTAGCAAGCAATCGGTTACCCGTCAAAGATCTTGGGTGAGCCCACAACACCGGTCTCTTGGCTAATTGCCAGGCGTACTCGGTTCGACGGGAGGTCCAACACTCAGCGCAGATACCAACGTCCGGACTTCCAGTATCCAGACTAAGATGGCTCTGTACAAGATCTAGAAGCGGAAGCAATCGTGATCGTAGCCCGCAATGTGCATGATTGGTGTCGACTTGATAGTTGGAGCATTGGCGAAGCGACGACAGAAGACGATCAATGTCTCCGAGATAATATGTTGGCTCCGTGTTATCGTAAATCTTGCCTTGCAGACGCACGGTATCAATCTTGAAAAAGAAGCGAACCATTTCCCCAAGTTGAAAAGAATCACACTGCAACGACGTATCGTAGCCAAGCTTGCATTGTCTCTCTCCAGAAGTATACAACTTGAGGAAGTGCGACTGCAGAGAGTTGATCGTTTCCAAAATATACTCTCGCCGCTGAATGAGCTCGTCCTCGACGCCATTTGGTATGTCCCACCACAGCGCCTTTGTATGATCCTCCTCTGTGCCCGGTTGCCACTGTATGGAATCCCGTATGATCAAATGTTTCGAGTATCGCGTTACCCACGACGGGTGGTCAAAGAGGAGACCAACTAACAACTTCTGTCGTATCCTCTCTTCTGTCTGCGATGTATTTGGTTTGCCTCTTGACTTGGCATCGAGGAGTTGCATGTACTTTCTCTTCTGTATATATTTCGAAAGGCACGCGACGGCATCGAATCGATCGGCCACGACGGCAAGGTTCGCCAGGTTGGCGACGGGAGGGTTCGATACGGCAAGGTCTAGGCCATGGATGGCACGGAGAAAATCTGCGAGCAAATTGCGGATGGACGAGACTTTGGCCACTGCTACTCGGCCGACATTGATAATGGAGATGTGAGGAAGCACGTTGTCAGGTGCATCGCCAATATTCTCGTGCCCGCTCAATCTAAGGGCCTCAAGCGACTTTGCCAGTTGCTGGCCTTCATGAAACCGGTGGCTGAGAAGGTTTTCAAAGTATCGCGAGTTTTGCTGGAGGGTCTTGGAGTCGACGCGGTACGAGAAACGCTGTCCTCCCTCTTCCTGAGCAACGTCAAGGATGAGATCGCCCCCGGCTGCAACAACCAGCAATCCCTCTTCGTCCGACATGGTTCAGGCTTGGTGGTGTGACTGTGCAAGGCGTACTTCCTCATGGGTATGGCCAGAACATGATGACTTAATTCGATGGCGATTCGCTTTGGTGCTGGGTGACAAGGTCAGAGACTGAGGTCACAGCCCGCGGGCGGAGCAATGCCTTGTCGGCGAGCTAGCCAATAAGGGGAGGCGAACTACGGATGGTGGCGCTGGCCCCTTGTTCAGGCAGTCTACACATCCCTCTACACCACCATTTGGCCTTGCATTCACCTTCTAACTAACCCCTTATATTGCTTCTGGGTTTTACCAGACGGGTTGGCCACTAGATTGTGTCTGCCTGTTGCACTGCCGTTTTTGAGGCAGGCGTTTTACCAGCTGGACATCACGCGGATCGTTGATTGAGAAATATGCGCCTTTGTATTAATACGTATGTCTTCCAAGCCAAGGGCAAGTGAAGAGAGGCTGCTTCAGAATGAAGATAAGAAAAATCAAACAAAGGAAATATAAACTCCGTTCTGAATGCCGGGTATCTTCCCACGCGCCAAGGTCGTAAATCTAGCACGATAGAGACGGTGACCTGAAGACCTTGGCGTCATCCTAAATTATGGCCACTCGCTCAAAACAAAAAGAAAATCGTCAAAAGACTGCCATGGCGATCGATGTCGCAGACAGGTGTATGTGCCGAACATGTGCCGGTACATGATGGGTGCGACGCGCTAGTTTAGCATGACAGTCCGTCGTGTGTGACTGGATGCTAGCGGACACGGCGAGTTGGAAGCTTCATTCGCATCCACTCGTCGCCGACAATCGCATGGCCGACACGCGAGTCGTAGAATGCACGCTGGCGCTGAGCGCGCTCAACGTAGGTGAGGCGATGCCTATGTACACGGCCTTTGGTGTCGCGTATGTATTCGTACTTTTCCTCGCCCTGGGAACAGTTAGCACAGTGATCTTGAAGAGGACAAGAAGTGTTACTTACGATAATAGCCCATATGGCCTGCTCCTGGGGATTCATCTGGCAGTAGTAGGTTGGTCGAGGCAGAGGTTTCTCGCCGCTCAGTCGACTGGATATGCTGTCCACGCTGGAGCGGATGGAGAGAACCATGGTGAAAGGTGTGAGGGTGGTGCGGTGGTGCGGGTCTTTGTCGGCGTGGGGGTTGGTCGTAGGAACGCTCGCCGCAGAGGGCGTTGGATGCGCGTTACCGGACGAGCGTGTCGATCGTGTTGTTGTTCAAGTAGCGACGTGAAGTGACAGACGGATGTTGATTCATGAAGTAAGGAAGGAATAAAATAGGCTGGGGAATAATGCAACAATGCAAATGCACAATGTTGAGGCGTGACCCGTAGTTCGCCCCACGATAGGTTGGAAACGGCAAAGGTTTTAATCGCGCAAGCCGGAGGGCGAAACCGGCACTGTGTAGGAACCGTGGTCGGCAGTCAACTTCTGGCGATAGGCAGAGCGAGGGAATGTACAGTTAAAATATAAATGACAGGGCTGCAAAGAGTACAATCCAGGAGCAATCCGGGGCATCATAGGCCGCCCACGGGGAACTCAAAAGTAATTGCGCCTTCCGCACTACGCGGATGGTTGAAGCCTTCCAAGACATGCCGAGAAAGACCAGCCCAGACACAAGGGAGCACCTCTGTCCAGACCCAACCACCACGCTGCAGATCAAAAGTACACGATGCACAATGGTGCTCGAAAACATTGCATCACCATGCTACGCCAGGCTTGGCTACCCAAGCAACGCAACCATGTTGCGCGGCGCCCAGCGGAGCGGAGGCTTGTCGGGACAAGAATGAATGAGGACCGTCCATGTTGGGTAAACCAACACGCATTGCATGTGAGGCGCAATCTCCAGATCTGCAAGTCCAAGAGGCTTGGCGGGGGATCGACAGGACAGTGTGCGGCTTGAAATGAAGCATCTCGGGACTTGTAGCGTGCGGGTGAGAGAGATCGCCAGAAAGGCTGCGCACGACTGGCTAGCTGAGGCGCCATCCCGCATGCACATCACTACGCCTTGCTATACCACAGCCCACCATACGCCCAGTGTTTGACGTGTTCATCACATGTAATATCCCCTCTTGGACTGCCTGGGGCGGCTCCTCAAACTTTGATTATAAGCCAGCTTCCTTGACGTCCGCGACCTTCTGTCCGTAGACGACAACACATCACCGTCTCTCAGGGGCTGGTTTCTCGAGACCCTTTGCCCAGCCTGCTCACTTGTACAGCACCACCATACGCAACCATTCACAGGCTGTTTCATGTGTTTGCTGGTCCGGGTGTGCTCTAGTCAATCCACACTATGGGCACAACTACTCGGGCCGCGCCACGATTATTGCTTTTGGTCAACAGCATACGCCGCTAGAAGTCTGGCGGCAGAAACATAATTATGCACCAAACAACCAGCGCATATTCAACGTTAGCCCCAGGCCGTTGAACGCTAAAGACGAGATGGGTTGAACTTGAACGGCTGGGGTCACAAGGGTTCACCAGCCTTCGGACCATGACAGTTCCACAGTTCCGCTTGTGGACAAGCACAACTGGGCAAATAGCCAAGCAGACAATTACATCTAGTCTTGTTTTGTAGTAACAAAGCAAAGGGAGGCTTCCGGGTCCTTCCGTCATGATTTCGCTCTGCAACCAGCCAAAGGGGTCAGCCAAGCCCTGACTGCGGGCTCCTATGGTTGCTTTCCATGTAACCATCCTTCCGCGTATCCTCCCTTTTGCTTCTACCTTGGCAAATTCTGTTCAACCGTGCTCAACATCTGGAACTACTGTGGAAGACGAATAAACCCCTTACCAATTCCCGCTCAGTAGCACTTGGCATAAGACCCTCTGCTGGTCATGAATAAGCAAAACCCTGCCTTGAACGGCAAAATACCCACCCAAAATAGGAAATCTTGGTGTGCATTGCTAATGGTTTCGGCTACCTAGGAAAGTATTACAATATGAGAAACCCCTTACTCAAGTGTCTTCAGTGATGAGCATTGATCGAGCATGTACGCCGCAATTACGATTCGTCAATGTTGAATTCTGCTGAACAAGGAGTGCAATTGGCTCTTTCCGTGTAAGTCTGTGCTCGTAGTTACATGCAGCGTTTGTTTCATCTCTTGTGACAGACTGGGCTGTCTTCCAAGTCACGATGGACCTTGGGACCCCGTGCGTAAGATCACTGATTATCCAAATCTACCCCCGCAGCAACTGTGACAGCAATAAGTAATATCATGACAACGTCAGCACGGGTACGTAAGCCGAGTCACTCAGGAGTATTATTCCATGTGTTCAAGTGTCAGGAAGAGGGGACAGAGTTCGGCATGGGCAATTACTGGCTGTAAGCTGATATCCGGCGGGTAGCGGCCGACGTCGGAGGGTTGCTGCGGCTTCTGGCGGGGCTCACCTTCATACGTGGGGTAGCTTCCGGACGCTGCCATGAAACCTGTGCGCGCCATATTTTCTCATTTTCAAAAACACGTACCAATTGCTCATAGAAGAAAATGCCTGCGCACAATATTGTCGTTCTCGCTGGTAAGTTACAGAGTCGGAAGTCGGGCACCACAGTACTAATTCGCGTCCAGGTGATGGTGTCGGCCCTGAGGTAACAGCAGCATCCGCGTGTGCCCACCGCGTTTACTCACCGATATTTCCAGGTTGTCACTGAGGCGATCAAAGTCCTTAAGGTCATTGAGAAGCATACCGATAATACCTTCAACTTCCAGGAGCATCTGTTTGGAGGTGTAAGTTGGGAGCTATGACGTAGGAGTCGGAACCGATCATAACATTCTACAGTGCTCGATAGACGCGCACAACAACCCTCTTACCGACGAGACCCTCACAGCCGCAAAGAATGCCGATGCCATCATCCTCGGTGCCGTCGGAGGACCGGTACGTAATTGTGTACTATCAAAAGGGCGACCCAATCTAATAGATGGTGTAGAAATGGGGCACGGGCAAGGTGCGCCCAGAACAAGGTATTCTCAAGCTCCGCAAAGAACTCGGGACCTTTGGAAATCTGCGACCCTGCTTCTTTGCCTCCGACTCACTAGTCGACTCCTCGCCCCTCAAAGCCGAAAATGTGCGGGGCGTCAACTTCAACATCATCCGTGAATTGACTGGTGGCATATACTTTGGTGACAGGAAAGAAGACGAGGGCGATGGCAAGGCAATGGATACTGAGCCATACAGTGTCGAGGAAATTGAGCGCGTTGTACGTTTGGCTGGCAACCTTGCCTCGGTCGAGGACCCGCCAGTACCTGTGTGGAGTTTGGACAAGGCCAACGTGCTCGCGACATCGAGGTTATGGAGGAAAACATTTGAGCGCATTATGAAGGACGAGTACCCGCACCTCAAGTCGGGTACCCACCTCATCGACTCCGCTGCCATGCTCATGATCAAGAACCCCCGCGCGCTGAACGGTGTTGTTGTCACAAGCAATCTGTTTGGTGACATTATTAGCGACGAGGCGAGCGTTATCCCAGGCAGTTTGGGTCTTCTGCCAAGTGCCAGCTTAGGCGGCATTCCTGATGGCAAGACAAAGCTCAATGGCATCTACGAGCCTATCCACGGTAAGTCCCGACGATATCCGCAACCATTTCGCTTGCTCACACAAATATAGGTTCTGCACCAGATATCGCTGGACAGGGCATCGTCAATCCCATTGCGACTGTCCTATCCGTAAGCATGATGTTCAAATACTCTTTGTGCCTGCCGGAGCTTGCGCAAAAGATTGACGAGGCAACAAAAATCACTATTGACAATGGTGTCCGAACCGCCGATATCGGCGGCAAGTCAAGTACAAGCGAAGTTGGCGACGCGATAGCTGCGGAACTGGAGAAGCTGCTGAAGAAGTAATTTTTCGACTGTGAGAATGATGTGCTTAGTATTTAGTCATGGTTCTGGCCGAATAGCGATGCTTTACTCGTAGCCCTTTCCAAGAAAAGTTCAATTTTACATCTCTCATCCGCGCATCTTGGGCTAGCCTTATCCATGTATATGTGTTTAATACGGAACGCTTTCTTAGTAATACTCTACATGGAAGTGAATACTAAATTCAGAAGTGATATGTCTAGTATACGTGTATGCCTACTCATTGTTCGTGTCGATCATACATCATGTCATGGAGACGGAATGGGAACCGAACGAATGAGTTCGTGTACCGCTGCGTAGAGTAGCCTGGCAGAGTATACCATGACTGCTCTTAGAAACCGCGACGCGCGTCCTGCCACATAAGCAAAACTCTGTAGAATCATGTCTGGTAGAGAGTATGCCTTGGCAATGCAACAAAAACAAGATAAATGTAGCCAAGATTTACTGCACCCGTGGTACTTGCTGTTGTAGTCTACAACCGGTTTGAAGGGAATAGTGAAGGTAAGAATGATGTAGTGTAGACTATGCTGCTTGGTAGGAGTCACACATATTTCTTTTTGATACAAAATCGGGTCCCCTCTACGTAAATTCTGGGCTCGATGACGCGTTCGAATACTCGTCTTAGCTGTGTAGTATGTAAGGGCTCGTGTTGCGGTGAACTGGGAAGAAAGAACGGGGTTGGGTACCCGGAGACTAAGATCTTGGTAGTATGTGGACATGGCACCACACAATATGTCTTCTCGAGAGATACAGCTCATGCATACAATAGTAGTAATGTCTGGTCCTTGATCTTGAAGAAAAGTCTTTGTAAAGGCCATTGCTTGAAGATAAGAATCTTTTTTACCACGATGGAACATGGGATGAGGTGTGAGCACAGACGTAATCCATCAACGGCGAAGATGGATCGGAAACAGATCGACTCCACAGCCTACACAGCCCTCCCAGAAAAAAAAAGTAAAGAAAAAGCAACAGGAAAGTCGATTGGTAGTCTTTCTTGGCCGGTACTGGGTTTCACCGTTGTACCGAGCGGAATTAAATTGTTTCCCGACTCCGATCAGAACCAAACTGTTCCAAACGGAAGGCGAGTGCTCTAGTTGGAAAGATTTTCGAAGGGAAAACCCACCCAGAAGCCAAATTCTGGAAGAGGCGGGGGTGGAGCCATAGTAATTTTTTGGCAATTCTTACAGTTGCATTTTCTCGGTGAATGCCCTCCATGCCCATGGAAATATAATTTTACCTGCTTGGATTAGCTTAGCCTATAGCGTATTGGATTATTTCTCACAAAGAGGATAGCGGAATATATCCTAACCTGCGAGAATCAATTACAACTCAATTAGATAAGAGAAGTCAATCAATTACGATTGCGGACAAGCAACGCAGCGTAGCAAGTGGAAAACGTACTCGCAAATCTTCACTGACAAATTGCTTGAAATTCATTTGCATCTCTTCACCATCAGAGGAAGAGCTAGATAGCAACATAGTATTATAAGAGTACATGCTTTTGAAGACGTGTTTGAATATCACACACATATCCGCACTCTTCTAACTACTATAATCACCAACCTTTGCAACCACCATGAGAACCTCCGTAATTATTCTTGCTCCCGGGCTGCTCACTGCAGTCTACGCCACCGGCGGCGACCGAAAGCATTTTCCTATCCACTACAAACATCCTGCGTGCGATTATGTATGCAGCGGTAAGCCTAAACACCCAATACCCATAACTTGTATAATACAACCGGCTAACCTAGGGGACAAAAAAATTCCCCGCCTTACAGGCAATGAACCCCCGCTTGGCTGTCAAAACGTCACAGCACACCACTGTGCGTGCGGCCCCTTCGAGTACAACGGCTGCTACAACGACCCCCACGGCGGAATCCTCCTCACCGAACGGATGTCTGGTCGCCGCTTCGACGAAGAAAACAGGCAGGAGAGCTGTGCGCAGACGTGCTATCGGTGGGAGTACTTTGCCATATCCGACGAGATTTGTCAGTGTGGCGATTACTTGCACAAATGGGCGACCAAGGTCGATGCCGTGCAGTGCAGAATCCCGTGCGCGGGCAGTTTTACGCAGTTTTGTGCACCGTTGGGGCTTTCGATGGTTTATAGGAAGAGGAGGAATACTACGGAGACGAGGGATTGGTGTAGAGCGCTCTCTATGAGTCAAGGAGAAAAGAGCAGGAAAGGAGTTTGGGGGTAGATGATGCTATGGATTGGATGGAGAAAAGAGAAGTTTGGGATTTTGGGCATCATGTGTTTGGCATTCTATACCAAAAGATTGTGGGGTTTTTTACTAAAGGGGGGAAAAGAGATTCTTGGGGTTGTGTGTGTGTGTGTGAGAGTGAGAGAGAGAGGTGGGGGGGGGGGGGGGGGGGGGGGGGGGGGGGGGGGGGGGGGGGGGGGGGGAAGCTGAGAGAAGTTAATACTACTATTACATCTCAGCATAAGCAACCGGAATGTGAAGACAATGTTTGACTAGAGCAGTGAGCGGCATGCTAAGTGGTGCCATTTGGTGACATGTTACTGGTGATTATTCAGATTAAAGGGCATTACAAAAAACGACAGTGACTGCTGTCCGAAACAGCCGGTCTTAAATGACCACTGTGACATGATCGCCCGCGGAAAAAAAAGATGCGTGATCTTAGGTAGCTTTTGCTTGTCACTCCGACTGGACGGGCCGCGATACGTTTTCCTATCGATAGCATTTCCTCCAATAGGTAGAGGACGTTAGGTTGGGCTGAAACATGAGGCGGTTAAAATGATCGACCGGACTGGCTTTGATGTATGTAAGTATGCGCACGCGCGCTTCATTGAATACGTATGTGCCCTGTCTGTGCTTCTGATTGGCTAATCTAGAGTAGACGGGGGCATCCGTAATGTAGGGTTTTTGGTTCTCTGCAATTCCCATGAGACAAGAGAGATTGCTTTGCAGATGATGGAATGGTGATTCTAGGGGGCACTGGGATGTGCGCTGCAAAACAACTTTTGCTGGACTTGTGATGCATGGCTGCATACTTCAGCTTCCTGTATCAGCTTTTTCTAAAAGAGTATGTGGCATCAGAGGGTTACGGCTACAGAAGCCGAGTAAGTAGTATCACAAGTACTACTGTGCAACACCCACACTGCTTGGTAAAGGATCATTTGGGTGTTCTTGGTCGTTCTTGGACGTGTATCAAATCGGGGCATCGCCTCCAGCTGTCGCTACGTTGCCGAAATCCGAGCCCCGCGTAACGAGGCCATGACTAGCTGTTAGTCTCGGACGGGTGTCTTGAAAGAGATCATCAAGCACCCCCTGCAGCCTGCAACTTGCACAAACGACGACACCAGGCTGTTGGCAGTGGCAATAAGTTACACCCGGACGGAGCACCTGCAGAAGGTAGCGCAGCTGACGCCATCAACTAGATTGTTCACAGACGCATTTTGCTGCAGAAGGGATACGAGAGGGCGGTTAACCAGACGGTAATTGCTACCTGTTCAAAGGAAGTGGAGTATGAATAGCGCAAAAACCAAATCGAAGGTCAAAGGACAGGCCAGGTCGATCACAAGCACGTGGCGAGAGTAAGCGACAAGAGCGTTATCGATAGGGGCCTGGCAGCCATTGGCGCCATATCACTCACATGCCTACACTAAACACCATTGGTATTATAGCCGAAGAAACGTAAACGGTCTGTCTATGAAACGAATCCGCTGTCAGTCTTCCTGGTCGCGTGCTAATCATTGCGCAAAACGTTGGGCGTGGGATTTGACGAAGTGATCCTTCGCCAGGGACAAGCGCCCCTGCTACGCCAAAAATGGGAGAGCGTGAAACAAGACGCAGACTCCGTCAGCCACGAACAGCAGAACCTCCATCGCGGAACCCGGGCAGCGAGTCCTTCACTCGAGACCCACAGGCTCTCGCGTCTCGCTGCCTTTCCCAAACAGGTCCACTTCCCCCGATGCGCCACCTGGTCTTGCTCACACCATTGGCTCGTCGCAAAGTCAGGGGCCCGTATACTACTACAACGCTCCACTCTTGGGCAGAGGCTACTAGCATGCTGAGAGCACAACCCTCTTCAGCCGCCGAGACTGGGCGTGCTAAGGCGTGTTATACGGGACCCATCAACAACTATGGTCCAGTCGTCAGGAGGTGATTTAAAAGCTGCCTGCCTGCCCTTGTGAAGGAGGGCATCAATCCCAGTGATAGATACACACTCACTCGTGACAAGCTAGTCTTTGTCTACATTCATTCTACATTCACTCACTTTTCTGTTCGAAAGCGCCGGACCGTCTTTCTTCTTTGAGCTTCTTTGTTGCTGTCAAGAAACACCCTCTTCACAGAAACAGCAACATCACTACACAGTCCTTTCAGCTCTGACTCTACTTTGCAACTTCCAGTCCTTCCTTGCATTCATAACGACCACAGTCTTTACGAAAAGAAAAAACACTACACACACCATGTATATGAAGACTCTATCTGTGCTCGCCCTAGTTGGCGCTGCCCAGGCTCACATGAGCTTGTTCTACCCACCCCCGCTAGGCGGAGCTCCATCCATCAACCCCCAGTCAACTGAAATCGATCCCGAATTCAACTTCCCGCTTGGATGCTGCGGTCCTGATGGAGGTGACAGCAAGCCTTCTCCAGGCCCCTGCCGCGGTCACCTTGACAAGTTCGATACCGAGAAGGCATCGGTCACATGGCAGTCTGGTCAAGACGCCTACTTCCAGCTCACCAGTTTCGACTACGACAAGGCCGCTCCCGGCGGAACTCACTATGGCGGATCCTGCCAGGTTGGATTCTCCACGGACAAGGGCAAGAGCTGGAAATTGGCCGCTTCGTATCACGGTGCTTGCCCGCATGCTACCGAAGATGGTTCACCTGAGGCCCAGACCTTTGACTTCAAGGTCCCTACCAACATGCCTGAAGGCGACGCCTTGTTTGTCTGGATCTGGCTGAACCGTGAGCACGAGAGCTTTGAGTCTTGCAGTAAGGTGCACATTGGCGGTGGGGGATCAGGCGACAGCACTGAGCCTACCAAGCCCTCCCCATCAGCATCTCAGCCTGAGGAGCCAGCATACTCTGCCACTTCACCCAAGGAGACACCTCAGCCTGAGACGCCCCAGCCTGAGACAACCCAGCCACCCAGCTACGAGAAGGAACCCGCTGGCGACAACAGCAACAACAGCAACAACAACAACAACGGCAACGGAAATGTCGTCACCGTAACCACCGTAGTCGCAACCACCATCTACAAGTACGAAGCCGCCGAAACCGCTACTCCCAACTCCCCCTCGCGCAACTGGGGCCGCGCCCACCCAGCTGTCAAGCCCAACACGCGCCGCTACCAAGTCGACGGCTCCCGCTGCGACTGCACCCGCGACGCCCTCACCCTTGCCGCTCGCTGCTTCTGCGACTCCCCCGAAAAATCAATCGAGCGCAAGGCCCTGCGTCTGCACCGCCGCACCTTCTACAAGCGCACCGACGCCTGCGACTGGAACTCTGCGCCCGCCATGGAGACTTCGTACTACACTATCGATGCTAACTGTGCTGCTGGCGCCAAGGACCGCATGCCCGAGAGTGACAAGTTCGAGCTCGGTTGGGATGTCCCCTGTGGTGTTGTCGAGGGAGAGAGTGAGTATGAGATCAAGACTATGACTTGTGATATGTATGGTTAAGTCTGTGTACATTGGTTCGTTGGTTGCTATTGGACTCTTTTTTCTTCTTCTTCTGCGTACATATCCTTTCTTTCTTCGCTCGTTCATCACGTTTTCTGAACGCTGGCTTTCTTCTTTTTTTATATCTTCTTCACATTGGTTCATGGGTGCCTCCATGGCTTGCTTTGACATTCTCTTTTTTGGGGGGGATGGGGTGTTTTGCAGCAATTTTGCATGATGCAAATGCGCTTGCTTTGTGTATCTGTATTGGGATGGAAACCTTGCTGCCATTTGGGTGTTCTCGCGCTGGATTATGCAGTGTATATATCTAGCGGACGGGGCAGATTTGGATTTAAAAAAAAGGGGGGAATAAGACATGTGTGTCATGGGTTTGGCACCGTCGTACAAAACAATGTAACATGCAAGAAATCACCATGAGAGTCTTTGCTATAAGCATATTTTTATGGATTTAGTGACGTTTCGTTCTCTCTTACAACTTACAACAAGCACTCAACCCAACACAACCTTCACAG